CATTCGCATTGTTATCATCCTCATTATCGTCATTATGATTTATGATTAGGGATAGTAACATTAAAAGTATTTGTAGTATCATCATTATCACTATCACTACCATGATCAATAGCATTATTTATTGCTATTGTAATTCTTGTTCAGATTATTGTCATTATTACTAATATCTTATATATGATTATTAGTATTGTTGCAATAATCATCATCATATTATTGCTGTTATCATCTTCATCATCATTATAATATTTGTTTTTATTATTATAGTTATTATTATGTTGGTGATTCCTGTTCTTTATTGTTATTGATCCTTTATTATTATTGTCATCATCATCATCACCATCACCATCATCATTCTAATCATTATAACCAGCATTATCATCATCATCATCATCATCACCATCATTCTAATCATCATAACCAGCATCATCATCACCATCATCATCATCATCACCATCATCATTCTAATCATCATAACCAGCATCATCATCGTCATCACCATCATCATTACCATCACCACCACCACAATCCTCCTGACGACCCAAGATTTCCGACCTCTGACTCCCAAGTCCCCTTTTCGCCCCAGATGGTCTTAGTGTGGTGGTGGACTTTCCTCCACAACCTGCCGTGGCCTGCTCTCCTCCTGGACCTCTTGGCGACGGGGGATTCCTTCACCTTCAGGATTCTGGACTTCCTGCAACAGAGGCTAGAGTGGGTTAGTGGAAAGCTAGGGACGTGCACGCTGCCCTCTGTCTGGTCCTAAGTTGTGTGGAAGCGATTTGGTTGGTTTTGTTCTGGGGAAGGCGAAGGTGAAACTGGTTTGTGTTGTCTTTGCGTTTGTGTTTCCTTTTTGTTGTTTTTTTTTCTTTGTATTCTTCCTCTTCTTTCTTTCTTCGTCTCCCCCGTCTCTGTTTTAGCTTTTTTCTTTTCTTCTTCCTTTTTTTTTTGTTCCCATATTTCGATTTATTTTCTGCGCGCATCATTTAGCTTTCGTGATCAATCTGGCATGACTCTCTCTCTCTCTCTCTCTCTCTCTCTCTCTCTCTCTCTCTCTCTCTCTCTCTCTCTCTCTCTCTCTCTCTCTCTCTCTCTCTCTCTCTCTCTCTCTCTCTCTTCCATTTTTTCTTTATTCATGTGGATTTATGGAGTATAAGCCATGTGTGGCTAATATTTACAAAGATTGTCATATTTTGCATGATTGTTTGCTTCAATGAAGCCTTTAAATGTTTGAAATAAATAAAAAAAAATGCTTCCTTCAGTTTTTCTTTTCTTTTTCTTTTTTCTCCCTCTTTTCTCCTTTCTCTCTCTTGTTTTTGTTTTTTGGCTTGTAATTCTGTAGAGTTAATGATTTCTTTGAATTCATAAAACGTATGGCCTGCTACATCACATTTAATAACCAATAGCTTATCCGATACAATGTTCGCTTTTATAATTCTGTTGTGATTTGTAAAAAAATGCATTATGAATCATAATAAAATGGTGTAGTAAAAGGAATTTGTTGTCTTTTACTTACCGAAATTCATAGTTTTTTTAAGATTAGATCACACACATCTGCAATATGATTGTTACAATTGTTTTAATGATTACATCTATTTCGTGGGGTAATTAATTTAAATTTTCACGACAGCTTTTCCCCATAAAAGGAGACATAAATACAAATGGCAGAAGATGCAATTGATTAACATGTTTCGGCTGTTTTATTTAGCAAAGAGAAAATAATAATGATAATAATAAGAGTAGTAATAATAATAATGATAATAATTATAAATAAGATAATGCAAAATTCCAAACTTCTGCCACTTAAGATTTTTTTTCTTTTTTTTTAACTTTTTTTCCTGAGCAACTTTTCCTTTCATGGGTCTTTGGAATCTGGCGATAGATTGAACATTTCATCTTCTCTCCATCTTTCTTGTTTCTTGATGAAATCTTTCCCTTTTCTCTTCGCTCACATCTTCCACATTTCGCATCATCAAACCAAGTTTTTTACAAGGAGTGGAAGCAAAATAACCCTTTCTTCGCTTTCATACAAACAACTTGGCCACTGTTTCTGAGATCAGTGGCGGTTCATAGGTATATCAACCCACTCATAAAAAATGTTATTGTTATTGTTGTTATTGCACGAATATATAAGTTCATGTTCCCGTTATCAAAATCGCAAAATCGCAAACATTGAATGAAAAATAGATATAAATGGTCCCTTGACACATTAAAAAGATAAATAGCTTGATTAGTACTGTCTGCAATGATAAGGCTAGCAGAAATTAATTTGATTTCTATACTGGAGAGATTAGTGTGAAGAAACTAGTCATCAAAATGACATCAGTTTGATTATCATAATTCTAGTGACGATGACTAAAGCAGCATCCGTAATGAAAAAACATGGATATCAGTGAAGATCACGTTTGCGGATGAAGCACCTGATAGAGGAACTCCTGCCAAGTGAGACCAAGCTTTTAATAAATGACTTTTTTTTCTTGTCATGCAACAGGAAAGACAAAGTCAAAATGTCCGCAGTAGAGGCGAGAGATCACAAAATCTTCAGATGTCCGAATAGTCACGTGTCCATCGACTTCGTCAATGAGTCGGGACTTGTGAATCATCCTTTTCACTTACATAAGCGCGCACGTGTCGAATCCCTGCTTAGTCTGTCTTGCTTTCTGTCTGTTTGTCGGTTTGTCTGTCCGCCAGTCCTTTCGTTGAGTCTGTTTATTTATCGTCCATCATTCTAGCTTGGTAGCTATAAACGTGTGAGGAGAGAGAGGGAGAGAGAGAGAGGAGGGAGGGCCGGAGGGAGAGAGCGTGAGAGAGAGAGAGAGAGAGAGAGACGGGAGGAGAGAGAGAGAGACTGAGACAGAGAACGAGAGAAAGTGAGAGAGAGAGAGGAGGGAGGGCGGGAGAGAGGGAGAGAGAGAGAGACTGAGACAGACAGAGAACGAGAGAAAGTGAGAGAGAGAGAGAGAGAGAGAGGGAGACGGGAGAGAGGGAGAGAGAGAGAGAAAGAGAAGGAGGGAGGGCGGGAAGGAGAGAGAGAGAGAGATGGTGGGGGTGGGTAGGATAGACAGGCAGACAGAAAATGTACAGTCCATGGCATGATATTTAGTTCAAACATGATCACATAACACGATGTATATACATATATGCTATACAAAAAGTATAAATTAGAACCAATATCCCAGCGCTAGATATACTAATTCTCATTCAACCTATTTTACCTTTATCATAATGATCCCTGTTTATGAATGCACTGTACGACTTAACAAAGCTTTATTTTAGCCCTCCCTAAGATCCCCGGTCCCTCCCGCAGTGGACGGACGCGTGGGGTGTGCGGTTCATGTGGCTGCGCGAGAGCGTTGAGATCAGCGTGGACAAAGGGATCACGGTGTTGGACGGTTACTTCGGGAGACTTCAGGACTGGGTCTTGTACTTGTTCGATGCCCTGCTGACTCCTGTTCGATATGCCTTCAAGCTGGTTGACAGCTACTCTCGGGTAAGAGGCTGGCGGTTTGAGTAATGTGAAGAGGAATAGATTTGGTTTGTGGTCTGTTAGAACGCTACATGATAATAATGATGGTATTCATAGTATTGATGATACTGGTATTTGTAATGTTTGCAAGGGAAAGGGATAAGATAGAACCTCTGGATAAAATTACTAAAAGTACTGGAGTTATATTTAAGTACCTACTTTCGTTTACAAGGACTGAAAATGCATTTTGTAACTGAAAATTGATATTTTTAGGTGATTTTTTTTTTTTTTTTTTTTTTTTGAAGCCATATTGGCTGAATTGCAAATCCTAATAAGTTAGTCTTTTGCCAGTCAGTGACCTTCAGACAGACGGTGCTGAAGGAGGACGGAGAGAGGCGGATGTCAAGAAAGAACTTCGAGACTGAGGACGAGGAAGACACCGAGGGCTGGGCGGAGGAGGACTACCTTTCCGACCACAGCGCGTCGAGCTCCAAGAGGGTCGCCAGGAAGGACAAGCAAGGTCTGAATGTCTGAATTCGTGAGCGATCTCTCCCGCTGTTCGTTCCCTCTGCTTGCTCTTGGTCATTTTCTTAAGCGCATATTGCCATGAGATAGACCTATTATTATATTAATATCGTTCATTTTCTATAATCAGTAGAGAAAAAGTGTTATCTGAACATACTTAATGACGTTTCCATAGAATTAAGAGATATGGGTAATATATTTAACATTTTAACAATTACTTAATCTTGAAAAGCTACACATTTACACTAAACAAAAAACAAGTGTCATAAAAAGCTGTAGCAAGTTGGCAAGAGAAGAGATAATTTACGGATTTCTCCCCGCCCTCACCCTGCCTTCCCCGTACTTCTGTTTCCTCCAAAGGCGCCTCTGTCACTTGCCCCGAAAGGAAACTAATGCCCCCGGCTTGTTTGTTCGATGAACTGCAGCTCTTAACCTCTTGCACGGACCTCCCCTGGTCGCCCCTGAGCTCTCCTCCAGATCTCTACATCAAAGACTTCCTGGCCAAACCCACAGCTTGCTCTACTGACAGTTTGTCAGAAGCGATCTACCGTCGATATTCTTACGATGTAGGAACAATCGCCAAGCTAGAGTCTCCAGCCATCAGTGAGGAGTCATCTGAGTACAAGGATTCCGCTGGCGCCCCCTATGGGGATGAGGAACACGAATACTCAGACGCCACGGTGCCACAGGACAGTCTATCCGCCAGGTGCACATCGCGCGAGAACCTCTTATCCCCCGTGGCTCCGGAAAAAGGTCCTCACCTTACGATAACCCTCGCCTATCCGCATGAGACTTGCAATGCAGATTTGTGCAATGCAGATGTCAATGAGCAAGATGATGCCGATTGCCATGAAATGTGTGAGCGACACAGTGCCAGGTCTGATAAATCCCAAGAGCACACGATCCCCACACCAAGGGTCTCTAGCGTTTCGCCAACTCCCCCGGTGGTGTCTGTGGACCTCTACCTCAGACCACACTCTCCAGACACACAGCCCGTACCTCCCGTACACACTAG